CTTTAAATAGCAAAGGCCACAGTTTCCTCTTTTTCCAAATGGTATTGGTTTTGAAACCTTTTCAATCAGCTTTACACTGGAAAACTGAGCTGGTGGTATAGTGCAAACACAGGAGGATTTACCCCTAGAGTGTCAACTGTCATCTACACTGCTAATACTAAATTAATTTAAAGTAAAGCATATGAGCAAACCGATCCATGTAGAACATCTATTTTTAATTATTTTGTGTACCGAATTCATAAAGCGTTTGTATCAAAAACTAATCCCTAAACAAGTTTAACTATGGGCAAATAAAGTTTGCACTGTTCTTATCGTCACTGTTTTCTATATTGGTTGCTATTCATTAAATCCAGACTGTGGTGAGTTTTTTTTGTTTTGTTTTGTTTTTTGTCAGTGATTTTTTTTTTTTTTTTTTATTATTATTATTATTATTATTGTTACTACAATTAGTGTAAATGGTGTCTCTTAAGAAGCACTGTTAATCACCATGTCTCTCTAATGTCCTTTCAGGCTTTTGGGTGCACTGCAATGATTCGAAACTGAACATGTGCTCTGTGGAGGAGGTGTGCAGGACACAAGCCTACATCCTTTTCTACACTCAGCGGAGTAACACACAAAATAATACACAGAGTGGAGTACCGAACAGCAACATTCAGAGTGATGCAGGGATCCCTGACCTCCCCTTCCCATCTCAGGATCCGTCCAATCCACAAGAATCCAGCCAAAAGACTATTGCTCCCTGACATTTCTGGTACCACTGCAAGATGTCCCGGTCACTTTAATATTCCACATTTTATTTTATTTTTTATTTTTTTCTTCTTCTCCATTTTGTCAGTTGCAACAAAAGACTTGCATTGTGATAAATCCGAAGGACACCCAAGTGGGGCAGGTTTTAAATTTAGAATAAAGTGCATATGGCCAGGATGTCTTTTTTACACATTCACTGCTAAAGATGTAGTGTTCTTGGTTGTGATCTGATTACATATTTACTGCCAATGACATGTGTAGCTGGGTGGTGAAAGCCATTTAAAAAAAAAAAAAAGGCTGCTGAACTACAGATTCACTTAAAACAGTAGTGTAAAGTGTCAATTGAGAGCCTGTTGGAGACCATATCAAATCTCACTATTGTCCATATCACTACTGTGTAATTTCAGATGTATGTTTGAAAATTCCTGTGGTGGATTTATTTTTTTATTTGTTTGGTTTTTTTTATATTCCCCCTCCCACCCATTCATAGACATCATTTGCTCTTGTTTTCCCCCAATTTGGTGCCTAGACTGTCTGCCTTCTTCCTTGTTATCTTCAGGTGTGTGACTGCCCATGTGAGGCTTGCCAGCATCATGTCATAAAAAGCCAAAGGGCAAGGACTAGCCTTGAAAGCACAATCCATGCAAGGCGTCTTCGCCCACTGTTTTTGGCTGTTTAGAATTGTAACTTGGGGTCATTATTCTTCCTTATGTTGCTTATGTTTTTAGTGTCCGCACTTCCTTGGGGCTTAGTAACTGTCTTCCTATATAGCAGCTTAAAACTGATCACTGATTGTTTTGTGGTTGCCTTTTTAAATATGGTGTCGTCACTAAAGTTAAATTCTGCGAATATGTGGCTTTAATCTGTTCAGCCACAAATTGGCAATCGTAATGCAACAGATTGCTTAAGACTTCCTTCCAATGCCTCTTGTTGCAGTAATCGGATAGGATTCTTTTTTTTTTTTTTTTACCCTTTAGTACCATTTTAAGACCCACGTGTCTACCTTCAATGTAGGTATAGATTGTGGAATCTTTTTATTTTAACATTTGTCATAAAATGGGGCATCATTTTATGACAAATGTTAACCGCTGTGCTACCTGGCTCGATAAGAGGAAACTAGTTGTGAATATGTTTTTACATTTGTCTACAATTTTTTTTTATTTTTTTTTTTTATTTTACTAAGGCAGGGATCCTATGTCATATTGGTACAGTGTTTCCCAATTAATTGAGGCAGCTTTTTACATCATTATAAATAAAATGTGCAGAGTGATGTAGATGTTGATTAGCATCAGAGTATTTTTGTGTCTTTGCAGGTCATGTTACTAGCAGCTGTATCTCTTAGTGGGCAAAACAAACGTGTAAGACACAGAGCACCAACTTAGGTTTGTGCTTTGAGTGGCTCCTAAATGTGCAGCACAACCCAAACTAGCTTTGCCTTACTAATGCCACAACAGTGGTCAAAACTTCCCATGTTACTGAGACTGGTCCCATCAACAATAACAATCCAGATCAGTTTTTCGCTGCAAGAGAGCAACGTCACCACTAGATTATGATTTCAGCTTCTTCTAGTTGCGTTGCAGCTGTTATTCCTCTTGACATAGTAAGTAAGGTGGTTTGTCTGAATTTGGATCTATAATGAGACCCAGAAATATATAAACGTTCAATTCAGAGCCACAGCAACTCCAGTGAATCAATTCGGCCGTACGCAGAAGATTCGCTGGAATTATGGTTCTGGACTTCCCTTCATGACCATCATTTTTTACATCTGCTTGACAGAATTACTAAATCAAGGCTACTACAGGCATCTGTCTCTTGTCTCACAAGCTAAACAATCTAGAATGCAGTCCTTTCATTCTCTGTTTAAATAGGTATACGGTTGATGGCTCCTTTTTAAAGGAACACTATATTCACCAGAACCTCTACAGCTTGTGGGGTTCTGGTGGCTATAGCATGTCCCTATAGTCTTAGCACAGCAAACTGCGTTTTCACAGATTCAATACATCTCTAGGAGGAAATGCGGATTGTCACAGTGATGCATTTCGCCGCACACTAGCCTTCCAATAATATGAATTAAACTGGCTGATATCATCAAGACTGATGATCTCAGCCGGAGAAACCGGAGCAACGGCCAAGAAAAGTAAAACTCTCCTTTTAATGCACTCAGAGGGTTGTGGTTAAGCTAGACCTTGAACAAGTCACTGCAGCATTAGGAATATGTTAGTATTCCTAAAGCTATAGTGTTCCTTTAGGAAATAAGGCCATTTGATAAACTTGCTTACAGAATTTTTAACTTGCGATACAAAAGCAATGTAATGGTAACAAGTAGTGTATATATATAAAAAAAAAATTTAACCAAAAATGTGGGACTGTGTGTTTGCACATATCAAAAGGCAACCAAGATTTTGGAGAGGGGATTGTTTTTGTTTTTTCCCCCCACCCCCCGCAGCATTTCCCCCTACTCTTCTCCCCTACCCCCTTCCCAAAGAATTTATGCCTGTGAAATTATGTGGTTTATGTATGAGATGGAAATAACTGGTGTAAGTTTGATGCACTTCATTTTGCTATGTGTTTTCAAAAATATTCATCCGGTAATGTTCATTATATTGCACTGTACTGTTTTTTTTTTGTTTGTTTAAGGGACTATTTAAGCACCATGCCACATGCTACTTGTAGAGCATATTTTGCTAGGAGCCCACAGTCTGTGGCTTTAATTATAGCTGCAGTGGTTTAAAAACAAACCCTGAAGCTATAGTCCAACCCTTCTTCTCTGTACATGAACTTGAATAGCATGTGTATGCATATAACTGGTCTGCTGTAAAATTAAAATGCTCTAGGTCTTTTGTGGCTGTGGCTATCGCTAGATCATCATGAAAAGTCGGCATGCACAGCTGCATATCAAGCCAGCCTTTTAGGAAAACAACCCATTAAATACTGGAAAAGCATAATGGTATTTCTAGAATTGCTCAGGTCTTCCTTTGGCTACCCATGGTCTAGAGTAACTCACTCATGTGGAAAAACTGAAAGTTCCTCTGAAGTCTTGCCAAGTAGTTTTTATTGGTGTTCACCCCCATTGAAATCTGAACCAGGACCACTAAAAATGTCAGCCACTTGCTAGGTCTTTTTCAGAAGTTGCAGCTAAATTCAAGACTGTTTTTATACTTAAGAAATAAATGAATAAAAATGCCTCCAGTGCCCATTAGCAGTGTTAATGTTGAATTTTAGCAATTTGTTTCTGACAGCACTCAAGAAAAATGAGAATCTGGTGTGTTTGGGAGCTGTGCATCAAGGTGGTACAATAGGGAAAAAAAAAGTACCTTTTTGTTTTTGTTCATTTTTGCAGTTATTTTAAGAAAAATATATAGCAAACATACGTACTATGTTTTGCATTTTGAGGACCATCGACCATCGCTTTTTTCATTTCATCTATTTTCTCACACTATAAACATCTTGTGGGTTAAATGACATACATGCAGACATGTATTTTATCACGAGTTTTGCATGTGTAACATACTTCACAGATCGTCACAAGATACTGGTGGGAGAGAACAAGCGTTGCAAACGTTTCGTGGACAAAGTTGTGTTGGGGCCCCCTTCATTACAGTTAGCCTAAACAACTATGTGGCAAACTTCAGAAAACTTAAGGCTTAAAGGACCACTATAGTGCCAGGAAAACATACTCGTTTTCCTGGCACTATAGTGCCCTGAGGGTGCCCCCACCCTCCTGCCCGGCTCTGGGGAGCGGAAAGAGTTAAAACTTAACTTTTTTTCCAGTGCCGGGCAGGGAGCTCTCCTCCTCCGATCCTCCTTTTCTCCTCCCATTAGGCTGAATGCGCACTCGCGGCAAGAGCTGCGCGCGCATTCAGCCGGTCTCATAGGAAAGCATTCATAATGCTTTCATATGGACGCTTGCGTGTTCTCACTGTGATTTTCACAGTGAGAATCATGCAAGCGGCTGTCAGTGAGACAGCCACTAGAGGATTTGAGGGCTGGATTAACCCATTTATAAACATAGCAGTTTCTCTGAAACTACTATGTTTATTTTAAAAAGGGTTAATCCTAGAGGGACCTGGCACCCAGACCACTTCATTAAGCTGAAGTGGTCTGGGTGCCAAGAGTGGTCCTTTTTAAAGGGCCTTCCAGAGGCGGGCAGGAGGGGGACCCTGAGGGTGGGGGCACCCTCACGGCACTAGTGCCAGGAAACCGAGTATGTTTTCCTGGTACTATAGTGGTCCTTTTAAGTTTTGTAATTGTTAATTGCTGTAGATTCAGACAGATTGTGTGTCTAGTAGCATACTGTATGCAACTGGTTTCTTTCTGCTTTTTGACAATTCTATAAGCAAGGCGTGTGGCCAGTAAAGGCAGTTATTCAGAATGTAGTTCAATAGTTTTATTCATGGTTGATATGTGCTTCTCTTACATTTTCCTGAGAAGAAAAAAAATACACAGACATCCCTTTCAATAGAACTAGAGGGGAAAGTGGTAGGAAAGTAAATATTCAATCTGTTGGTAAGTGATAAACGTGCATGACCTAGGGTCAATCTCTGTCGCAGTCTATGCTTGTATGATGCTCTACCAAACCATCCTCACATCACCTACCTCAACCCGTATATATTGTGAGACATTCTGCATAAAAAAAAAAAAAGAAAGTACATCTCATAGATCACATGACCTGTTTTGAAGCAAGTTAAAGAACAGAGAGCTAATTTGAAAGTGTTGGTAGCTTCCATTCAGTGTTTGGGATTTGTGTTGGGTTTTTTAATGCTGAAGTGAGGACATTTATTGAATGTTACAATTATATATATATATTTTTTTTTTTATATTTTAGGTCTAGTGTCTGTACATTTCATAACTGTTTTAATGGACACTATTAATCTGATTGATGTAGAAGGGGTTAATTAAATGTCTTGCATTTGGCTCTTGTTGGGCTGGTTTATGCTACATGAACGTAATGCAGTCATTATGCATAACAATGGAACTGAGGCACAATAAGTTTTTGTGTCTACAGATAAGATTTGCTTTGAAAAGGTGGCAGTAATCCGTAACTATGACACTACCTACCATTAGCAAGCTACTTATAGTATGAACATTTTACAACAATGTCAGACCTACCAAATTCCAAAATTATTGTTCCTTTTACGAATTAAAACCTCATCAGTCAGAAAGAACCGCTCTAGCTGGTCACTTCTGTTAGGCCAACTCCCCTGACTTGTTTCAATATTTGAGTGGTCTGATAAAAATCCAGGTCGATGTAGGACTCTTGACTTCATATTTGTAGGATTATAAGAGGCTGGGATATGGCCAGCCTAACATTTATCGCCGGTCACTGAAAACTTGTTTGATGGGTAATGGGGTTGTTCCTTCTGCATTAGCAAAGTCACAGGAAAGGTTCAAACCAGAGCAATAGTACCCAGACTATTTGAAAAATACCGACACTCTGCTGTAGTGGTTATGATACTCATTGTCCTTAATGTTCCCGTGACATTATTCCAGAAATACTAAACATTTTTCAAAGGATGTCTTTCACTTTACATGGATGTTTGACCTTTCTGATGGTTTTAATTGGGTTGTAGGCACCTCAATAGCAATATATTTTAAGTATAGATTCATTGATCTGAAATACTATTTAAGTATCATAACCTCTTTTTGAACCAAGAGATGCGCACACACTTGTATACTATATACTATATAAATCATGATTAAGAGGCAAGTACCACTGCACGAATCATCCATTAGGATCTGTGCCTAATTATAATAAAAAGTACCAATAAAACACTGTTTATAAGTGGTACATGAATGGGGCCTGTGACTTTTAAATCCAGATTGTGAATTTAGCTTCACTATCTAAAACTAATTCATTATTTTTCAGATGTCCTGAAAGAAAACGACTATGTAGGTATGGGACATATCCGCACCAGTGTTGTTGTAAGCAATAATTTGGTTATTTTAAAGCAGATTGAGTCATTCTTTAGCTGCAGACAAAGAGAATGTAATTTAGGGACAATTATTCAACTTAAACTATTTGTTGCTGTATAGTTGGTGTTTTAAATATTACTGGTTTGCTGGCTGCATCTTAGTCTATAGTTCGGTGTACAATTATCAGAAATTTTGTTTTAAAACAGGACTGGCATTCAGTTTGCTTACATCCAAAACCTCTCTCCATTTCATTGCAAAAAGGCAGATATGATCAATCGGAAAGGATTGCTGCCTTCATTACATTGCCAGAAGTTAAAGGGTTACTTCAACCACAGTGTTTTAATTGAACAGCTTATAGATGGACTAAGCTTTGCTGGAATGATACTACCTGAATAGACACTTACCTGCGATCCCGCTCTGTGTCCAAGTTCTCCTTTCCACCTGATCCTCACATGGTGATTTTACTCCATCACTTTATTGGACAGGCTGAGTGGAGGACTTAGGGACAATGCCATCGTTGGTCATCTGGCTGCAGCATGCTATGTGTGCACAATGTTAACAGTAGCAAGCCTAGAACAATTGTTCAGGGCTGGTTAATGGTACTGCTGTATATGGACATCCCTGGCAGCAATGTGCGATATCACTGCTTCAAACTTAAAATTCTGCACATGCAGGCTCAACGCATCATGACCACTTCAAAATACTGAAGTGGTCATGGTGTTTGCAGTGACCCTAGAATAAATAAGTTGTATAGTTTAAATAGGCATGTACCCTGAATACAGCTTATTTTAACTACCACTGTATTGAATTCTACATCACTTAACCAGCTGTCCAGTACTGAATACTGGTAGGCGTTTAAGATAAGTACCGATTACATGGCAGAGCATTTGATTAAACTATGGCAAGTAGCACAGACCTTCCATAATCAAAATCTTTGATTTAAAACCAACTTTTACGTGGTATACCCTAAAACAGAGGTGCCCAAAAGGTAGATCCCCAGATGTTTTAAAATTATAGCTTCCATGATGCTTTGTCATTCTAAAGGCATGCAAAGTACTATGGTAGTTATATTTCTACAACATCAGAGGATCTACCTTTTTGGGCAACCCTGCCCTAAAGTCACTGTGATACATCACATTTCCATTGCAATTTGCTACATCTTGTGTTAGCCACATATTAATTGGTAGAGATTTATAGAGATATCATATAGCTAATGTCAATGCTAGTCACTTGACAGTTTTTGTTCCCTTACCGGAAATGGTATATATAGACTCAAGTACAAAATATTCTGGTGAATGTCAAATGGGCCATAGAATGTCTATTTGGCTTTCATAAAGGTAGCCACATGGTTTGTGATCACTATAGGTATTACTGCTGCACCCCTTCTTTATTTTTTACCTCTGTATTTTAGAGGGAGAACACTGGATTATTATTTTAGCTGCATATAGTGCTCCAACGTATTTGTAATTGGTTTCAACTAGTAATTCCTTTCTATAAAAAGATTGATGGGAAGAGAGATGAGTTGCAACAACTCTACAAGACTACCACATCAAAGTAGCAAATCAAACATTGTTAAAGGGATACTAGACAGCTTTAGCTTAATGCGGTGGTTTTGGTGTATAGCTCCTGCCCCTGCAGTCTCAAATGTAACAGCACAGTGTGTTACTTTCTAAGTGATTTTATCCATTTCTGTTAACTAAAATTTACTCACACAAAGCTTCTGAAGGTTATAGCAGATAATTAACAAAAACATTTAAAACTAATATTAAACACCTTATGACTTACAGGAAGTTTAAAAATTAGATCTCTCTGCAGGAAGTCTATATGGAAACAGTGTGACTGCAGGGGCAAGATCTATAAACCAAAACCACTTATTTAAGGTAAAGTTGTTTTAGTGCTAATAGTGTTCCTTTAGTCACATTTTTATAGCACTTTATTGCCATAGACTTTTCACCCTATAGATTGTGTCATGTTCACATAATTGCAATTTGTTTTTTTACTTTACCAAAAGGCTAAGAATGTTAAAATATAACTGCCTTTGATACATCTTCAATATTCCTTAGTGGCTCCCAGGATAGAACCACTGCTCTATAGGTAGAGACATGGTGAAACAATGTAAAATTGATATGCATTTTGTGCAAAGGCTTAGATTACAAATGTATCCACTAAATAGTGAACTGCACTTGTGTCAAATTAAACAGAATGTTTTCTATACAGCTTTCATTTTGGCTAAAAACATTGCAGTTCATGTTAATTTACTGTTTAGTAAATACAGTCCTCAGATTTATAAATAAGAATGGAACAGTAAGCATTTGGTCTACTCTGCCTTTGTCAAGAGCAGACCATTGTGACACCTTTTTTGCACAAATAACCAATGGCCAACTCTTTAACCACCTTCCTTAGTAATGTTCTCTTCCAATCTTACTGGGTTGTTGGGTGATTTCATTAGAATCTTGTCAAACTGCTCCTGTTACACTGTGTGATATCAGACTTGGGATTAAAAACCATGTTAACACAAACTATATTAATTAAGCCTGGATTCATGTGTTTTCTGTGGCTAAATGAGTAATGCCTTGAGGATTTCACCAGGCTTCATAAAAATAAACATTTTCTTCCATTTAAGTTGGACTGGGAATATGTACTCCAATCATTTCAATACACATTAGTATATGCTGGTCATTTTTAAATCTCATTCACACATATCCTTTGCCCAACGGCCTGTGTGTAGTAGTGACTCTGTCCTAGTTAATTTCCTTTGAAATGGATAGCTGACAGGGCTGTGGATTGTTGGATACAAAGTAATGTTTATCCATGTTCTTGAAGAGGAAAAATTGTGTAATTGGGAGGGGGTAGAAGTCATGTTTTTATGAGTTTTGTAAATCTCTACTCTTTTTACACCTTGGTTTTTGTAAGCTAAAGTTTCCTATTAAAAGATAAAACCAAAGCTGTGATTGTACATTTATTTGAATTCTAAAACATTTCTTTTAAATAATGGTTTAAACAAGTCAGATTGATCCCATCCAGTCATGTGCCGCCGCAAACCTCCAACATGGCCACGAACAAGGTTCCCATTTCCTCACTGTAGCCCTATGTACGTTCTGCTACATGTGCTAGTGCACTCAAGCGAAAGAACAGAGTATGCTGAATGAACAAGTTCGATGTCGAATAACTAGAAGAGAAAATGGATTGTAATTGTAAAAAAGTCTTTTAAGAATCAATTTAACTTTGAAACACTGTAGACGATTAATAGTATATTTTCAAGCCATAAATTTATAGCTACATGCAGCCCTTAAACTTCATTCAGAATACCATGGCTGAGTTATTGCAGTAAACTGCTGATGAGACTCCCATGATCTCCCTGCATGTCCCCAAGCCAACTATGTTTATACTGGGCTTTGCCAGATTCCCAGCACTGATCACAGTGCAGTCAGTCAGGAAAAGCTTCCTGTAATATGCCGAAACAAATCCAGTAGATGGCAACAGCATACCACGATACTGTTTTAAGTGGGAAATGTATCTGCTGATATCTGTACTGATTAGGGTTAGACTTGGGCGTAGAGTTAAAGTTAAGGGTTACTTCTATTTTAGAGTTACGGATAGTGTTGTGTTAAGGGTAAGGTTAAGTATGTATGATTGATAAAGGGAGTTAAATCTAGTCAGGGTAGCAGAACTACCAGACAATTTAGATCCTGGACATTTAACATTCAGGACATATGATTTTATCTGTTATTTTTATTTAGTTGCAATGGATGACCAAAAAAAAAAAAAGATGCTAGTCAACCCGTGCCCCACTACCACATTTGAATTCATTTTGCTAAAAGTGCAGATTTGAAATGAAATTGGCACTTTTCTAAATTAACCTGGTTACACCCCTTTGGCTTTCAGGCAGCCAATAGGTCCTGTTACTTCCTGATTTGGTTAGTTCAGTGGAGCTAAACTCAAGAGGCAGAAATTGCTCAGAGCACCTGCCTTGCAAAGACTACACAAAGAGCTGCATTGGGAAGTCTGTGATTGGACAGCGACAAAGTCTGGGTGGTGTTAGAAGGGGAAGGTTTGCAAAGGCTACAGACAAGAGAACTCCAGGCTTTGTAAGCTGTTTTTAGATCTACCCCAATAAAAAAAAAAAAAAAAAATAATACATGCAAGTTTATTTGGGGTATATCTACTAAACAGTAATTTTGTACTTGGGTAGGGTATGTTATTTAAATGTTAGGCAACATGTATGATAACCCTTGTAAAGAGAAACCCTTAAATTACAGTTGAGGAACAAACATAGCGCAAATGTTAGGTAATTGTTCAAGTTCTAAACAGAACCTATTTCTTTAAGGAATTAAACAAACATTAAGCAGCATAACTCCTCCATGGACATAATGGTGCAAAGTAGTACCCAATCTCTTTGCACACATCTTCCCATTTTCTCTTTTACATAAAGGGATACTGTAGTGCCAGGAATACATATTTCTGGCACTAATCGCTACCTGCTCCTTCGCGCGTGTTGTCGTCCCCCGCTAAATTAAGTGTTAAAAACCCATTACCTTTTCCAGCGTCTATGTCCCTCTGCGCTGGGTCGACGAACAGGGTCTAATGTGCATGCGCGGCAGAAATGCATGCCCTGAGCTTTAGACCTCCCAATAGGAAAGCCAATGCTTTCCTAAGGGTAAAAATATGACGCTGGAGATCCTAATGCAGAGCAGGATGACGTCCAGCGTCAGATACCGGACCGGTCCATTTCAATTCAGGAAGCCCTCTGGTGGCTGTCTGGTAGAAAGCCACTAAGGGCAGACTTAAGAGTCGCAATGTAAACACTGCTGTTTCTATGAAACTGCAATGTTTTACATTGCAGCACTAAGTGCAAAAGGGACACTGCACCCAGACCACTTCAATTAGCTGAAGTGGTCTGGGTGCCTACAGTGTCCCTTTAAAAGGAGAGCCATAAGTCACGTGCACACTGTTCAATTTCACACATCCACTATTTATCTCTCTGGGAGATACCTGGCCATAGTTGGAAGCTTAGATAAACACTGTGCACAACCTTATTAAAAAGAAAGATGACAAACATAGAACAGTTGTGAAGCAGCAGCTAGCAAATTTCATCAGCAGCTGAATCTTATCAACTGGTACTCGAGGCTGAACAACATATTCAGTGCATTTCTGCAGCTCTGCCCACTTTGATTACAGCCACTGGGGGGAAACTGCAAATATATATATGTTAGAGAATATTGCGAACGTCTATATTTGCAGGCTTTTAAAGGGGTTAACCCTTGGTATAAAGTAATTTTGTAAATGCAGAAATTGCCCACAAGAATATATACAAATAAAGGAAAAAAAATTATTAAAAACGTATTTCATTCATTTAAAATGGAGAGAAAAGGGCCTTTTCACCCTATGATGGGTGAGTGTTATCATGAGGGAATAAATGTAGTGATCGGTTAAACCCTATGGTGAAAGAAAATACAAGAAAACAAAAAGAAAAACTTATGTACAGATGTACTCTATTGTGCTAAGCTTCTCTTGTACTGGCTGGAAGTCAGACTGTTTATAGAGATGGCAACATATATGTCTAGTAGGTGCAACTGTAGACAAATGGTAACATGTTATTAGGTAGACACCATTTAAGTAATGCCCAAAGAAGGGAATAGCTAGCTCAAATATTTGTTACCATCTCTATAAAAAAAAGGACAAGCTTAGCCCAATAGAGTACAGCTGTACATAAGTTTTTCTTTCTTATTTTTTTTGTATTTTCTTTCACCGTAGGGTTAAACAAATCACTAAATCTATTCCTTCACGATAGCACTCACCCCTCATAGGGTGAAAAATTTTCTCTCTATTTTAAATGAATGAAATAAATCATGTTTTAATAATTATTTTCCTTTATTTGTATATATATTTCTTGTGGGCAATTTCTGCATTTACAAAACTGCAAATATATGTATGTGAAGCTCTCCTTTGTGGGCTGTGGCTGTCCAATCACAGCTCAATGAGAAGTCATTGCAAGTCAAGTGCTCTGAGCATTTTCTGCCTCTTGAGTTTAGTTCCACTTATCCAACCAAACCAGGAAGTAACAGGAGCTCTTGTCTGACAGAGGAGTGTAACAAGGTTCATTTCTGAAAGTGAAACTTTCTACTTACTTTTTGTAAAATGCAAAGAGGAGACGCTTCACAAATAAAGCACTTCAGTCATAATGAAGTCTATAACTGCAATTACAAAAGTAGCACTCATTTTTTGGTTTCATTTCCGAAAGCCTGACAGGATTATTCACTAAAGTGAGAATTCAAAGAGAATTTTAAATTTAGAGATCCGAGAAGCCAAACTGAAAGCATTGCTGGACAGAATTATTCCAATTCAGTTATTTTGATCTTAAATTTGAAATTCACTTTGAATTCTCTCTTTAATAAATAAACCTATATATTAGCATAATGAGACATCACGTTACATAGACTGAAAAAAAAGAAAAAAAAAAAAGACATGATTCTTAAAGGATCACAAACATGTATTCCTGACCCTACGGTGCTAAACCCACTATTGAGGTGGCTTGCCCCCCTATAAAAGTTTAAAACCTTATTTCCAGCGCCGTGCGGATTCGCCGGCACTGGCTCCGCCCCATTTGTAACCATCAAAATTGACTTTTTTTGCCAATCCAATGCTTTCCCTTAAACGGCATGGGGCGGGGCCATATGCCATTTTGGCCGATCAAGACCTCCTTTGAATCAATGCATCTCTATGAGAAAAATTCTGCGTCTCCATGCAGAGCGTGGGGACGGTGAAGGCAGGGCTGCTTACCGTGCAGCCATGAGCCAGGAAGCCCATCCAGTGGCCACTTGGAGGTGTCCTGAGGGGCAATGTAAACACTGCATTTTCTCTGAAAAGGCAGTGTTTACAGGAAAATACCTGAAGGAAGCTATTATACTCACCAGAACAACTACATTAAGCTGTAGTTGTTCTGATGACTATTGTGTCCCTTTAAGTTCATCCTCACATCTGTATTTGCTGTGTTACAGTTCTGAGTAAGGTTTTTCATAGTTGTCAAGATTCACGCCATGAAAATTCCCTTCCTTCTCTTGTGTGTGCGCCCAGAGGTTACACGGTAATGATAACCCAGACCACAAGGATAAGGCAATAACACGCAGTTGGGAAGATCAAAGGAAGAAGAACATGGAGAGCTTTTGATCTCCGCTAACTGTCCAAGACAATCTTTTAGCTCCAAGCCCCACTTCTGTGCGGCCAGCTGCCATGGAAGAAAACGAAAGCATTAGGTACATAGGTTTGTATTTCGAAAGCTTTAGTGTCCCTATCCCCCTTGCTGCCACCGACTACATCATGAAGACAGCCTCCTATCGTGTGGTCCAATCCAATGTTCCTCGTAGAGGATGCGAGCGATACACATCCAAACTTAACCATTGGAAAGCATTTAATAAATGCATTCCTACAGAGGAATCTACACTGTGTAACAGAGTTAGACTGTCAATACAGTGGACATGCCTCCAATGACTTACAGCCACTGGGGGGGTGTTTAACCCTTTAAGGTAAACATTGCTGTTTGTGCAAAACTGCAAGATTTTACCTTGAATAAGTTAAATTGACAGGACCACTGCACCAAGGTCGCTTCATTGAGAGGAAGTGGCTTGGGTAACTTTAGTGGTACTTTAACCCCTTAAGGACACATGACATGTGTGACATGTCATGATTCCCTTTTATTCTAGAAGTTTGGTCCTTAAGGGGTTAATGCACAATGTGATTATTTTGTGCACATGACAAAACTATTTGCACTATTAAAGGAACACTCCAGTATTATAAACCTTTATCTGTAACGCTGATGTTCTAAACTATTTTCCGGTTAGATTTGTGGCCCCCCTCCTACCCCCCCAGATGTTTTTCACTACATTTCCCATAATGCTCTTACAACCATAATGCTGGCAAAGCATCAAGGGAGATGTAGTCCAAAACATCTAGGGGGCCAAAGGTTCCCCCATCCCTGATATAGAGCTATCACTTACCACTAATACAGCAGTGAGAGAGTCTCCTCTGCATATCTGTCAACCTTCAGAAGTTAATCTAGCAATATCCTCACTACCAGTTCAAAGTTTCTCAGAGCACTAAAAGTATGTGAGAAAAAGTAACATCTCAGCTGACAGCAAGGAGGGTGCTACAACCTGGAGCTTTACAAAAGTTCTGATTTCTCTTGCAGTTTGCTTTTTTTTTTTTTTTTAGAACATTAGAATTAGGGAACACTGATAACCCCTAAATCATTTGAGCTGAAGTGCTTTAGAGGTTTGAAGTTTTCCTTTAAAGGGACACTATAGTCACCAGAACAACTACAGCTTATTGAATTTGTTCTGGTGAGTAGAATCATTACCTTCAAGCTTTTTGCTGTAAACACTGTCTTTTCAGAGAAAATGAAGTGTTTACATTACAGCCTAGTGATAACTTCACTGGCCACTCCTCAGATGGCTGCTAGATATCCTTCCTGGGTCATGGCTGCCTAAAATGCATCCAAACATTCAGTGTCTCCACCCTCTGCATGCAGACACTGAACTTTCCTCATAGAGATTCATTGGCTGATTGGCCAGGGCTGTGTTTGAATCATGCTGGCTCTGCCCCTGATTTGCCTCTTTGTCAGTGGTGAAGCATTGTGATTGGATCAGGCTACCACTTCTGATGATGTCAGTAGACTGCTTGTTTTTTTGTTTTTTTTTAAGGCAAACAGCATGCAGAGTTACAGCTTCTGGCTAGAATACAGTAAGATTTTGCTATATAAAATTGGAGGCATGAGGGGCTAGATGGTGGTTTTAACACTATAGGGTCAGGAATACATGTTTGTGTTCCTGACCCTATAGTGATCCTTTAAGAATTTTACTACGATCAAATGAAAAGAAATGTTGCACATTGACTGACATTACAAAGTGGCAGTGTTTTGGGGGTTTTTTTTGTGGGGGAAGGGGGTCAATGCATATTGCATCTTTTCAGCATTTATGTCTAGTGGGCCTAGAGCAGGGGGGAAAAAAAGCCATATTTATGCACTTTGAAGTAACTCTACATGTGTCTTTTTCAAGGTGACTGAGGAATGTATTAACTATGTGCAGTGGTGAATCATTAACAGTCAAAAAATTGCATATTGCCAGACTCAGAACAATTAGGAACATTCAAGCACAGGTTGCTGCATTTCACATGGGAAGTCTCACCTTACAAGCATTGTTTTGTGTTTTTCTTTGGCTAGAGCGCAGGGGGTGGTGCCATCAAATCAATATCTGTCAGGTTTCTGGCCACCCAAACACCAGCTGCAAATAACCCTAAGTTTACAATAAGGTTCCTATAAAGAAAACATAAGCATCACTTTGAAGAAATAGCATGAAGAATGGTTTATTAACCAACAATATATTTAAAAGCGGCATTGTCATGCCGAACTTACCTTTCTTTAATTGATTCCTCTTCTTTCCCTCTCTCAGGATCTGTTCTTCATTTCTTCCTGTCTGCTCTAGTTTTCTTTAAAACATAAGACAAAGTAGGGACTACTTGTCTTATGGAGGTTTCCTACGCCTGACCATCTCTGACCAGCGGAGGAGCAAAGTGGGCTTCATTTTCGATGGTCAGAGCAATTTTCCCACAATGCTCACCTTTCCTCAGTGTTCCCGCGGAGCCTCCTTTCACTTTTCCTAAAGGTCCTGTCAGACAGAACTCCGGCGAAACTACCAAATTGCGTCCTAACAGAATGAGAACAGTTTCTCCATTTGTGTCTTTGTTCGGATCAAAATTTCATTCGAATTAATGAAATTCTGATCAGATTCGTGCCGCGGCAGCATCTTGCAGCTGCTTAGTAGATAACTCCCTAATTCTCACGGTATCAGGGAGCTATCAAAAGGCTGAAAGACCTAAATTGGTCTTTCAGTCAAATTTTCAAATACTAAGATTACTTAATATTAGTAAAGTCTGCCCTACTCACTATATCACAAGTAGGGGCATGTCTATTAAACAGTGAGCAGCTTGTGCCACGCAAGTGGGGGCTATTTAACTGAAGGAGGGACCTAGCGTTCATTTTTCAGCCACAAAAAAGGCCAAATAAAAATCCATAATACCCATCGAATTTGTCAAAAAAAAAAAAAAAATTCCGACTTTCAAAAGTTCTTTGGAATTTTCCCACGCTGGGTAAAATGACACAGAGCACTCTGGTTGGATTTAAAGCCAACCAGAGTGCTGTGACCAGTAGAGACGCTCTGGGTTGTTTTTTTTTTTTTCACAAGTTCGACAAGTATTATGGATTTTTATTTGGCCTTTTTGGGGCTGAAAAATGAAGATTTTAGAAGACATCAAATGGCAAGGTTCCCAGGTACTTGGTTCTTTTATTATTATTAGTCACCTTGGGGTGGGGGGGTAACAATTTAATTTATGGCCCCGACCCGCCGCTCAGGGGTGGGAGCTGGGAGCGGGGGGGGGGGGAGAACAATAGTTCCCCCCCATTGTTATTTAGGGCCTCCAACCGGCACTCAGGTGTGGCGGCCTGGGGGTGGACAAAAGGTGAGAATTATGGTAAAATTGCTCCTCCACTGGTCAGAGATGGTCAGGCGTAGGAAGCCTCCACAAGACAAGTAGTCCCTACTTTGTCTTGTGTTTTAACCCCTTAAGGACCAAACTTCTGGAATAAAAGGGAATCATGTCACACACGTCATGTGTCCTTAAGGGGTTAAAGAAAACTAAAGCAGACAGGAAGAAATGAAGAACAGATCCTGACAGTGGGAGAGAAGAGGAATTGATTAAAGAAAGGCAAGTTCGGCATGATAGTGCCGCTTTAAGAGGATGAATAACTGCAACTTAAATTTCAAAATCATAAAAAAAAGTTGTTTTTTTTGTTTGTTTTTTAAATTGTCAAAATAAAGTTATTTTTCAAGCTCATTAATTATTGCCTACAATTTGCAATAGCTGTGCCAACCCTTGCATGCTTATGTTATGTCTTCAGCAGCAGTACATCATGACCTTGAACACAATCGATGTAACCCAACACATTGTTTCACATGGAAGCATGGTACATTAAACAACAGCAGGAACAGTGACACCCACAGTTATATTAAATTACAGCTATAGTATTGGACACTCCAGCTGTTCAGAACTACATTTCCCAGGAGTAAATACATAAAGAACAAATGTTGCCAATGTGTGTAATATATATATACACACACACACACACACACATCCTAAGACAGTAATGTTATAATACACTATGAGGAAATACATGCAGGTAACAGGCATTCCTATTAAATGTGAACATCTCTCACACTGTCACCATCACCCACTGCCAGGGAGCCATGCACGTGTTGTGTGTTACAGGATGTACTCCACGTATGACACCATCAATATAAACCCTCGGGGTCACAAACCTGCGGAAGTCATTCTTATCGGTGATAAAATGATAGGCCCCGTGGAGCCATCCCTGGGTGCCTGCAGCAGCTTTCTCCATGCTACCCTGCGCCATTTTCTTTGTGAGACTGCTAACCTCTTCCTGGTTCAGGAACATGCTGTTTCCTGGTCCGTATAGCGACCTCTGCAGGCAGGAGGGGGTATGACAGCGTTATCCACATGAAGCACGTGGGACATAGCTGGGCTACACTCATCACAAGTGTCCCTGCTTGATAAGGGCAGTCCTTAAATTGTTACCAAATCTAATGTCCATGAACTCCCCCATTTTGTTTTGTTTTTGGGAAAAGTTAACGTTTTATAGACAAAATAAAAATATGAACACATTGTAAAAAAAAAAAAAAAAAAAAGTACCATGTACTATGTGGAAGCAACAATGCTGTTGAATATAAATAAGGTTGAGACATAATTCCTTTTGCATAAACAACAACAAAAAACTGATGTAGCACGGTCTCAGCTATTTATAGAGATTAAGATAAGGAACTGTTAATGTAGGGGGAAAGATTGTACTGACACTGGATAAAACTTACAAGGTCAGGAACAGAATTCAAGATTTATGTATAACAACAAGCAGGGTCTTTCACCAGAAAATAAAGGAAAATGTTAAAATGTAACTTTAGTAAATCTTGGAAATAATGATAGAGTGTACAATAGTTTCAGTATTTTGTCATTCTTGGTAGATGAGATGTTTATTTCTATAAATTCGCCTAACTTGTGACCAGAAGCAGGAAATTAAGATGAAGCTGTAGCAAGTTGATATCTATCACCGTCTGCATGAATATAATTCTAACTTTCAAAAACTTGACGTTTCCTTTTATTCCTTTACCACAAGGCACAATACAGATTTAAATTCCACCCCTCACTAACACGCACAATTCCCACTTTCTTCTGTCTCCCCCCATCTCTTTCTCCCTTCATAACCACTATCCCTGTCTATTTAAATTTCCCATCCTTTGTCACATGATTATAACTTTCTCTTGCAGGTTACATTATTTTCCCTGTTATCCCAATGTTCTGTAATTACTTTCCCCTTGATAACTGTCCCGTTCAGACAACCCGCGTTTGACCATGTTAGTTCCTCCCTGATATCTATATCAATGTAATTGTCCACTTATAATTCATGTCTCTTCTGGCTTGTTAATGCAGTGGCGTAGCGTGGGTTGTCAGCATCCGGGGCAAGGCAAGTAATTTGCGCCCCCTAACCCGTGGATTTTTTTTTTTTATCTATACGCATTGCATTTTACTGCCCCCCAACCCCTCCCCCTAAAAAAAATCTCCTTATTACAATACATGAACATATTGATTTACTGTCCCCACCCCCTCCCCCTAAAAATACATTCCATCATTACAACTTATTTTGCAGATTTTTTTTTTTATCTATACAGATTGCATTTACTGCCCCCCAACTCCACCCCCTCCCCCTAAAAAAAATCTCCTTATTACAATACATGAACATATTGTTTTACTGCCCCCACCCCCTCCCCCTAAAAATAAATTTCCACCATTACAACTTATTTTGCCGATTTTTTGTTATATACACAATTAACACATTGCATTTACTGCCCACTCCTCCTAAAACTATAATTTACTTTACAGTCAATATAAAAAAAAAAAAAAAAATACTTGGATGCTCTGCTAGGAGAAAGGGGGTGATGGTGTTCCCGGCGTCCTTCAGGTGGAGGCTATGCGCATGCGCTGTTACCGGCCGTGACTCATTTCATGACGTCACGGTACGCGCTTGCGCATGGGAGGTCAGAAGGAGGAGCCACCGACCGAGCCAGTCCGTCCTACACTATGCGGCAATGCCGGCCACATAGTGAAGGATCGGAATTCTGTAGCCACTGCCGGCGGGGCTCAAGAGAGGCAGCTGCTTTGGTGGCCCCTTAGGAAGAACTGGGCCGGGGCAGCTGCCTTTAGCCCTGCGTTAAAGACGGCCCAGCGGCCGTTTTTAACATGCTTTAGGGCGGCCTGGGGGGCAATTGCCTCCCTGCCCCCCAGCCCAGCCCGCTCCTGCCTGGCACCCCCCCCCCCTCCACAGTGGGCGGCGACCCGGCGGCTCGGATCGGATTCGCACAGCCAGCACTGCAGAGAGAGTGAGTGAGCCAGGCAGGGGCAGAGAGCTGCGAGTGTGAGCGCGCCCCCCCAGATGTTGCGCCCGGTGCGCATCCCCCACGCTACGCCTCTGTGTTTATGTATAATATTTGTTGTGCCCCACATGTCATTTCAATTTCCCTTATCTTATCTCTATCCATTTCAATTTACTTTGTTTTCTCAGTGGAGCAACAAATGAAGAAAGGATTTTGGTGCACAAACTGTAGACCACTGTTCTCAACTGTCCTATAACCCTCGCAATACTTTTCCAGCTCTGGATCTACCCTTTTCCCATCCATTCAAGGCAGTATTAGTGTGCAGTGTCTATGTGTTTGAATGTAGGAGTGTGCGTGTTGGGTGTATTTGTGTGCAGTGTTAGCATTTGAATGCAAATGTGCATTTGTGTCTAGTGAGGTTATCCAGAGGGCCACTCATTGGTCAGATTAAGGCATTTCCTTATACTGTTTCTATTGGGATACTGACAAAACATACACCGGTGGTGTATCATGAAGACTGGGATAGAAATGACTGCTTTATAAAGTATACACAACTTAATATTAAAAAATATGTATTCAGATTTCCATGTCAAAAACGTACAACCTGAGTATGTGATCTGGTTCTCCAAAGTGATTCTGCTTCGTTTAGTTTGGTCCAACTGCAGAGAGGTACAAGGTTACTTTGATTCAACACTCAGACAACTGTGGAGTTCCTGTTGATATCTACTACCTGAATAACTATAATCGTCACAAAAATTCTACGTAGAAAGCTGGGGTCATAGTCCGAGACTACTCCAGTAAAGACAAACAGATGGATTAATAAACAGATAGGAAATTGATAAGATTTTCTTTCAGTGGAAAAACAGCTACTGCATAGTATGAAAGTACTTAGTACATATATGTATATTGTAGTCCATAAACCTTGGTATTGTTAGGAAACGTACTGTAATGGATCCGGTTCAATCCAACTCTGTAAACCAAAACCAATGGTCCTACTTGTTGGATTGGGCCAAGTATACCAGGAATAATGGCAACCACGATTCCTCTGGTCACAGTCCAGTATGGTCAACTTTGGCTTCTGGTTCTGTGTCTGGTATTTTGTGTCTGGCAGCCTTGGATGACCACCTGATTAAACTGCTAGATCTAAGAGTGCAAGTTTAGAATATTTTGGATTTTTTATTTTATTTTTAAATTCTTTATTTTTGGTGTGCACAAAAAGAACAGTAAGCCCTGGTGCGCCACAACAGCGACATCAGAGTATAATTATAAACATTCGCTTTACAGGTTGTGGTTATCAATAGTCAGGCACATTTTTTGGTTAAAAAGAAAAACATAACAAGATTGCAACAGTATAAGATTTCGATTAGCTTAAACATTGAGTTATGCAGCACAATGTTATAGTATAAGCACGTTTAGCGCAGTGATGCAGCATCAGATGTATCGTAATAAAATGTAAATGTTTGTTGCGTGGCTTGTCTGGTTGATGCTATTTAGCGAACTGGCTTAATATAGGCTGTGTGTTCTGGGAGTTATGCTGCGCCTGTTGTGGATATGACAGACATAAGCATTGGTCATTAGTTACAGCTTTAACTTGCTTGCATACATGTTTAAGTTTAATTACTATTAGCATTGGTACAATGTAAACTACAAGTAAGGCCTCCCCTGTGATCCCCTGTGTGAGTCAACGTGAGAACATAACTTAAAGAAAGGATATTAAGAGTCTACAGATAAGGTAGTCGTGTGAGTTCAATGGAGGCTTTTGAAGGGCGGTTGGCAGGGCCGCCATCAGAAATTTTGGGGACCCTGACAAAGCACAAGGTCTGGGCCCCGCTCCCCTTCTCTCCCCTCCGGGCCCGCCCACGCCCTACCTAGTCCGTTGGCAATGATGCAGGACTGAATGTGGTGTGTATAGTGGAAGTGAATTAGAATGTGAGTAATGGATGTAGTGTTTGTGTGTATTAGATACTGTTTGTGCAGTAAATGCAGAGTGTGTGTTTGTGTAGCGGATGCAGTGTGTATAGTGAACGCAGAGTGTGTTTGAGTAGTGGATGTAGTGTGTGTACAGTGATGTGCGTGTTTGTGTAGTGGATATAGTGTTTGTGTGTACTAGATGAAATGTGTTTAGTGAATGCAGTGTCTGTAGTGGATGTAGTGTGTGTATTAGATGCAGTGTCTGTGTATAGTGAATGCAGAGTGTTTCAATTTGTGGTGGATGTAGTGTGTGTACTGTGAATACAGGATGTTTGTGTAGTGGATGCTGTGTGTACAGTTAATGCAGAGTGTGTGTTAATGTGTAGTGAATGCAGAGTGTGTGTCAGTGTAGTGAATGCAGAGTGTGTGTTAGTGTATGCAGTAGTATTGGTGTATGCAGAGTGTGTGTTGTATTAGTGTATGCAGTGTGTGTTGTGTAGTGTAAACAGTGTGTGTGTTGTAGTAGTGTATGCAGTGTGTGTGTTGTGTTAGTGTATGCAGTGTGTGTGTTGTATTAGTGTATGCAGTGTGTGTGTTGTGTTAGTTTATGCAGTGTGTGTGTTGTATTGGTGTATGCAGTGTGTGTGTTGTGTTAGTGTATGCAGTGTGTGTGTTGTATTAGTGTATGCAGTGTGTGTTGTGTTAGTGTATGCAGTGTGTGTGTTGTGTTAGTGTATGCAGTGTGTGTGTTGTGTTAGTGTATGCAGTGTGTGTTGTGTTGTGTTAGTGCAGTGTGTGTGTTGTATTAGCATATGCAGTGTGTGTGTTGTGTTAGTGTATGCAGGGTGTGTGTTGTGTTAGTGTATGTAGTGTGTGTTGTGTTAGTGTATGCAGTGAATGTGTTGTGTTAGTGTATGCAGTGTGTGTGTTGTATTAGTGTATGCAGTGTGTGTGTTGTATTGGTGTATGCAGTGTGTGTTGTGTTAGTCTATGCAGTGTGTGTGTTGTATTAGTGTATGTAGTGTGTGTGTGTTGTGTTAGTGTATGCAGTGTGTGTGTTGTGTTAGTGTATGCAGGGTGTGTGTTGTGTTAGTGTATGTAGTGTGTGTGTACTATGTTAATGAATGCAGTGTGTGTTGTGTTAGTGTATGCAGTGTGTGTTGGTGTTAGTGTATGTAGTGTGTGTGTGTGTTGTGTTAGTGTATGTAGTGTGTGTGTGTTGTGTTAGTGTATGCAGGGTGTGTGTTGTGTTAGTGTATGTAGTGTGTGTGTTGTGTTAGTGTATGCAGTGTGTGTGTTGTGTTAGTGTATGCAGTGTGTTTGTTGTGTTAGTGTATGTAGTGTGTGTGTTGTATTAGTGTATGCAGTGTGTGTGTTGTGTTAGTGTATGCAGGGTGTGTGTACTGTTTGCGGGGGGGAGGAAGGGGCATTTTCACAGTAATTTTTTAATTTTATATTAATTTAATTAAATGTTTCTCCCCTCTCCCTGCTTCTTACCTGTGTCCGGGGGGAGGGGGGAGATTCCATCCCTGGTGGTCTGGTGGCATGGGGGGCCCCCGGCTCCCTGTTACCGCAGAGGGGGCCCAGCACACTGCCTGTTCTCCTCTCTTCTAATAACTCTCGCGATACCCGCGGCCTTCTGAGCTTTGCCATGGAAACGCGGGTATCGCGAGAGTTATTAGAAGAGAGAAGAACAGGCAGTGTGCTGGGCCCCCTCTGTGGTAACAGGGAGCTGGGGGCCGGCGGCTGCACACATAGATAGCGATATTCACTATTTATGTGTGCAGAAAGGGAAAGTGGGGCCCAGGACTGCCAATGGGCATTTTGCCTGGTATCAGGTCTCAGTCACTGTAGGGTCAGCCGATGCCTTGTTGGGGCTGGTGTCACGGTAGTTTACCCCAACACGCAAGATTTAGTCCAACAATCGACAGATAGAGCAGATACGTCTTACCGGACCTTAGAATGGCCGGACTCGCCGTTTAGCAGAGAATAGACAGAGTAAAGAACAAGCCGAGGTCAAGGGAACAAAGAGACTGCGAGAACAAAAACTAGCCAAGGTCTGGTACACAGTAGTCAGTAAGCCGGCAAACAAGACAAAACAGGGATAGAGAGATAAACGGAGTCAGAAACAAAGCCAAGGTCAAGCACGAAAATCACAACTGAACACAACAAGCGCTAAAAGGAACTGAAACAAAAACCACGATAGGGCAGGGAGTTAAGGGAGAGGTAAGTATAAATACCCTTAATACCCTAACCTTTACTTTGATTGGCCCCTGTCATATCCACGCCCCCAAAATGTTAGTGTATGGGGAATGTGGGATGACAGGGGCCAATGGGAGACCGTTGTATTTTTTGGCTCCCAGTGCCCCTTTAAGAGCGTGCCCGAGACGCGTGGCACGCTCTTAGAGCTAGGTGGGACACGTGACTGCATCTCGCGGTCCATGCCCGCCTTCATCCAAGAGCCACGCGCAGCGGGAAGAGAGGACCTCGGCCAGCCCCCGGGTAAGGTAAGTACCGCTACAGCTGGGTGCTTTCTCTCAGTGTCGCTCGTCGCAGCCCATGCCATTTCTCCAGTGGTTGTCGGTGAGTACGGTGTTCTCCTGGCTGAATGCTGCGCTGGAGTCACCTGTTAGGCTGGGGTATTGCCATGTTCGTCGTCTTGGCGCGGTTGCCTCTCAGGGTCCGTTGCCCCTCAGGATCGCCTGTCGGGTTGGGCTGGTCTTGCCCCTCCGCTGCTTAAATCGCTGATGGGGGTGTCCTGGGGGGCGTCTCTTTAATGTCTTCCGAGCCCCAGGCCCCGGTCTGTTATTGTTCACCCTGTAGCTCAGGTGAGGTCTCGAGGGGGCACCCTGCTGTGGCTTGGCTTTTGCAATTGTAGGGTTAGGGGGAACTCCTGCTTTCCTCTGCTGGATTCCTCGTGGTGAGGTGCCTGGCCCCTTGGCAGTTAGTGTTATCTGTGCCGGAGGCTGTAACCGAGCTTTCGACGGCTGCCAGAAGGAGGTGAAGATCTTATTGAGTCGGTGCTCAGTTTCCAGCCAGGCAGGTTGTGTACAGGCTGCGTGGGCGGAATCCGCCATTTTAGGAGGCTGTATGGCGGGAAGTGTAGATCTCTTTTTAGTGGTTGCTTTTCCACCGCTCTGCAGGGGTATCTTGTGGGGGTAGACCGGGATATCCCCCGCCGGTCCAGAGGGGCTCACGGCTTGGAGCTTGGTCGGTCGTGGCATTAGGGGAGTGGCCGTCTCTCCTGTGCCCGCCATCCTTATAGGCCTCACCTTCGTGTTGGTTGAATGGGGGTTTGGTAAGTTGCTTATTCGGTATCCATGTGTTCCCCCCGTTGTCACCACACTCTGGGTAGTCTTTCTGCCCGATTGATTGCCATTTTGGCTAGAAAAGTCTGCTTTTTTGCCCTGGTTCTCAGGAGCTCCTGTGGTCAGCGTCTGCTCTGTTCCAATATTCTGCATTTAATAGATCCCCTATACTCCGGCAGAGTATATCTGCTGTAAGTCTCCTAAATTCCAAGTGATGCAGTGATTATAGCTCCCAAGTCCCCAAGTATCAGCCTAGACTTGATGAAGGGTAAAATAAATCTGTTTAATCCAGGCTCAATGGTCTGCTTTTATGTTATTATTATTGCCATTTATATAGCACCAACAGATTCTATACAATACAGGGACACCGTAAACATGCCTACAAAATGTCCCCAAAATGCCATGTCACCATGACTAAGCATAAAATGACAAAATGTGAAAACACACAAAAATATATATTTCCCAAGTAGGAACACCCACAGTCTATACATCCTCAGGTAGCCTGGATCTGAGCGCCCAACATATCAAAAAAGCGCAGGGAAGTTCTGACCGGCCGCACACATGGTCCTATGCCCAAAACAGTTCCAGGGCATTTTGTCCTTTGCCGGTCAACTTCGGGAGTTCCATGCGAACAAAATACTGAAAGCACGATCTGGCTTCTTTGTAGCGTTTGTTCAACAAACCTACCGAATGGCGCTTTCCTGACGTGTGTGTGGAAGGAGTAGGCATTCGACCAAGTTCAGCGGTGTTCAGGAGTTTTAGTGTCCGATTTTAGTTCCACGCAATCTACTCCCAAACACCGCTGCTTGCATTCTCGCAAACAAGATGGCCACCACACAGTTCCCATGCGTTCGTGCATACGAATGGCGGCCACCCAGCTGCACAATTAGAACCCATACTGGTTGAAGTGTCAGGGTCAATAAGCTCAGAGGTGGTCCTCAGTTTGTGGGTCGGTTCAGTAGGCTAGCCTCCACACTCCTCCAGGAGTCAGTGGCGAACGTCCAGGCAAAGGAGCTTTCGTCACACTGGACAACTTGGTATTGCTCCATTAGAGACAAGCAATTCATAGACACACGGTGGCACCTTTCTATAATTTTTGAGATAGAATCTGACTGTCCACTCGAAACATTAAACTCCAGGGTGTGTCCACCAAAACTGTCTCCTTGATACATTGGTATCTACTGTATTATTCATTAGGTAAATCCATTGGCATACACCTTGGACTTACCTAAGAATCTCCATATCCCAAACACCTTTAAAATTTCCCCTTGGACCTTTAATTGTTTTTCCTCTTCATTTTTAGCTCCTGCTCTGGTAATAGTCAATCACCATGAGGAATATGAAATCAATTAGTTGATTCTTGGATCTCTAGAGGCAGGCTACAGTATATAGTCAATTAAGGTTGCTGCCTGAAGAAAGGTCTTGAACAGATGCTGCTGATGTTTACACACCCTCCTAGTTAAATAATTTCAATCCCAATTTTCCTCTAAGCCTTTATAGGTGGTTCTTTGGGGGATTAACATTCGGAAACTTACTTACTCAATCCAGCTCTGAGCACAGGGTTCCGGTTACAAGTTTGATGCATCCATGTAAATTCAAAGTCAGTTCTGCCATGGTTCCATTTATCTCTCTTCAACGCAGCAGGGTCAATTCAGAAACTTCGGTCGCATGTGTTTGAACACAGCATTATTTTCACTAGGTCGCCTTCGTGCCTTTTTATATTTTTCGTTATTGACGTCCAGTCTAGGGTACATTTATAAGGCCTAAGCCTTTTTAAACTAATGTAAACTCTGGTCCAGTGCTCTTTGGTGGTTTTTGCTAGCCTTTAAACGTGTTTGATACCTTAAACGTGTTCTTGACTTCTGTTGCCGATCCAGGTACAACTACTGACTTGATTTGTTCCAGTCCTGTTTCCTGTATTCCAAGCTACATTATTGACTGCAAGTTATTCCTGTTTCCAGTTACCAGACCCAGCACTGTCTTTGACCTTGGATTTCTATTAGTACTTTTGTATTTTGTGCCCTCCTCCTGCTCTGGGTTAGTGCTAATGCTTTCAATTTCTATTTACCATTAAAGGACCACTATAGGCACCCAGACCACTTCATC